CCTGGGCCTAGTATGGCTCCGTCATTGCTTCTTGAGGGGTACCTGGTATATAATAAATAATTTCAGTTTGTTCACGTTCATCTGCGGCTTATGTTATATCCTTATTTTTTAAATAATTTTTAATGATAAAATTGTAATCATATTTATAATTCTAATTTCAAAAAGTTGTTTAGAAAAAAATTATTCAACAAATAGCGTAATAAATACTTCTAAGGAATCCAAATATTTTCAACTATTTATTTACCTATCTATAATTTTAACAATATGATAAATCTTGGGAAAAGGGGACAACTTAGTTAAGAGGTAATTTGTATATAAATAATTTTAAAGATACATACTTAACTTTAATTAAGAGAAGATAGCTAAAATATTTACCGAAATTATTGATGAAATATATATATAATCTAAAAGCTATAAAAGTGGAACAATTCATTTAAATTTTTTTGTTTAATAATTAATAAAAATATCATGATATTTTTTTTTTTTTTCAAAACGATAAATAATATTATAAATCAAAATGCACAAAGGTGCGAATACATAGCAGCCAACGGCTGAATACACAGCAGTCAACAACTGAAAAAGTGGGAGGACAGGTCAAAAGACCGCCTAGAAACCCCGCTAGCAACGCTAGAATAAAAACACTCGCAACTAAACTAACTAACAACACAAACGACTAAAACAACTAAAACAACTACCCGAGTGTCGGACCCCAACAGGGTAATAAGGTGACACTCGGGCGTACAACGTGACACTCGGGCGCACAAAGGCAACTGCCCCAAACAAAAAACACAAACAAAGAGAACAACAAATAAAACCTACAAAAAAGACAAACAAAGCCCTTCCCCAGCGAGATAACCGAACCCAGCACAAGGCACCAGCGAAATCAGGACTACACCCAATAGCTTGACGCGAAAGTCGGAACACCACTCTCGCCACTGCCTAAAGCCTAGCAAAGGATGAGTCCCGAGCCTCGAACCACTCCAAGGATGTAGCCGACCCAAAGTCCGGGAGGATCGAAAGGCCCCAACCCACAGACCCGCTTCCCGAGACTCGACCAGAAACACTAGTCAAAATCTGGGTCTGTCGGACATCCGATTCCACGCAACCAGCGAAGAGGACACAAGGGCACGAACCAATCCACCTCAACCCCGGCCGACGCGACTCAAACGAGCCAAGCCACCAGGGTTGCACCCAATCACAACCATAACCACTCACCTCCTTGAAGCCATCCACCACGGACCGGCCGCGCAGCACACAAGTCCCCACCTGAGACCGAGTAGAGAAGAAGCCACCCGACGAGCGGGGAAACCAGCCACCATAGACTCTACGCAGAGAAACAGGAAACGGGACCACCGCCGGCAACAAGTAAGCGGCGGAATCTGCCAACGGGCATGGGAGAAACACCGGCGCAGGGGCACTGGTAAGCGAAAATTGAGACGGGATGTCGAAGCTATGGGTCATCCGCCGGCGAAAGGGCCGGCTAATCGCCGGGGAAGGCGCACGCGATGAACGAAATTAAGGATGAAGCAGCGAGAGTTTCTGGAGGAGAAGAAAGGGGATCGCGAAGAAAGGGGTTTCTGGAGCGAGGGTTTCAAATTTTGGTTTAGCCATTGCTTTAGTTTAGCCATTGCTTTCCAAAATGGGTTCTAAATAAACGATGAGAACTATAATTTTTATATATTGAATATTTTATTTATCGTTATTATCTTAAGATTCTTAGATTTTTTTATGATTTTCTAAATAACATTTGGGTGTTTATTTGACTATAAGTATCCTATCAAATAAGATAGTTGTTTTGGTAATATTTATTTAATTTTGTAAATTTACTAATAACTATAAGTAAAAAAAAAAAATTGAAATCAATATTGTTTGTCCTCACACAAAGTATAGAAATATTATTTTTTTCAAAATAACCTATCAAAAAGATATAGTTTGGCCCATCACCGTTTGGTGAATCAAAGCAGTGTCTACTGCATACATGCGCATGTTTATATCTTACGGGTTATAGAACACAGTAATTAACCGAGGCCTAGTTAATTTACGACGATCAGTATAAAACAAACTCATCCTCTCTGCGATCCTTCAATACACAAGTGTACAAGTGCAACTAATTAGTCCAGACCAAATATAGTATAGTTGACACTACAACCGTTCCGACAGTTTTCTCATTTCCATCTAGGTTGTGAACTAATTAGTTATGTTTCGCAAGTGAGTGATAAAATGATATTCTATCCATGAATGTGAACGATTTTATCAAAGTACAAAACAATAGAACATACACGATTCTCATTCAACAAAAATAGTGTAAACAACATTGAAAGCTTGATCAAAAGTCAAGCTTTCAGTATATTAAGTTATCTCTAAAAAGAAGTAGTAGACTTTCTGGATAGCTTTTCTCCAGTTGAAAAGCTAAAGCTAGTTTCAGTGAGATTGCTCATAGCTTTTGCTACACAACAAATTTGGCAGCTACATTAACAATGCTTTCCTGAATGGATTTTTGGATGAAGAACTATATATGACACCTCCTAAAGGATATACAAAAGCAAGAATAGGAGAAGTGTGCTTATTGAAAAGAAGTGTTTGTGGTATAAAACAGGCCTCAAAATGATGGAACATCAGATCATGGCTTATGGATTCACTCAGTTCACACATGATTATAGTTTGTTTACAAGACGGAAGGATGACAGATTTTTAGCACTACCCATTTATGTCGATGTTGTGCGAAAAATTTTCGGAGGATATTCGCAAGCTTAAAAACTATCTTACTGCTTTGGTTACAATTAAGGAAGGTGGCTAGATATTTCTTATGGCCTGAAATCCCCAAAGATCAGAAAGGGACATACTTAAATCAGAGGAAATGCATCTTAGATATTGTTCAAGATTTGGGAATGAGACACAGGGCCTTACCCTCTGTTCACAAGAGTCACCACCCTTCAAACAATATCTTCCGAACAACACGAACAAAATTGCTCGAGCTTACACTAGGCACAAATAGGATTTCGTTCTCGTAAACTAATCCGCATATTCAAAACAAATATCTTCACACACACACACACACACCTAAAATAATATAAGAATGAATGAAATGTAGTCTAATTTGATTTCTGCAAAGTGGATACAAGATTCGACGCAGCAAAAGCAGCAGAGCCTCCAACCACAGAGAACAAAGCAACAATAACCTGCAAACCAATCTCCCAAGGGTAATCCTCGGGCACGACATACACGAAAACGGGCCCCACCACAAGAAGCGCCAGGCTGAGGTTAAGTAGAGCAGTAGGGGTCCCGGGATCAGTAGCCGCCGATAGGACCCCCAACTCTTCCGCTTTCGACAGGAGCCCGAGCCTCTCGATTGTGGACAGAGATAGTCCGAAACTCTCAGCAGCCGACAAGAGACCGGCTTTCTCGGCTTTGCTCAGTAGGCGGAGCTGCTCGACCCGCGTCAATAGTTTCACCGTGGGTGTACTCTATGTTTTGGAAGAAACGAAAATGCATGTATGTAATGTAAATGAATCGAAGAAACATTATCAAATGTAGTAAATTTCGACACACAATTTATTCATTCATATGTTATACAGAGTATTTCATCTTCAACTGCAAGGAATCAAATAAAATAAAAATAAAAATAAAAATAAAAAAGGAAGCACAAGTTAGAGACCTTTCTAGAGCTGAGGGTTTTGGTGGGCTTCTGGGCGGCCATCATAAAGGGTGAATAAGCTTTCGCTGCCATAGCCATCATTAATTTTCTCTCTCTTTCTATTTTCAAGATAAAAGAGAGAGAGTGAGAGAGAGAGAGAGAGAGAGAGAGGAACAAGTGTTGTGAATTGTGAGTCTGCTGGTGCTGTGTGTGTGTGGTATCGATCGATATCATCAATTCGAGTGAACAAAAATGCATCCCCGTAGAGATTCTCTTACGTGGCGTAACTTGTACCCATCTCTAGTGGTTTATCAACGCGCAAGTATCACACGGGTGCTTGTTAAAAATTTATTCTTAAATTTTAAAATTAATGCAAGTATCACACGAGTGCTTGTTAAAAAATTATTTTTAAATTCTAAAAATAATGAGAACAAATTATTTTAAATTTTATTTACTTTTTTATAAATTATATATTTTTGAATGACAATTGTTAGTTGTGCGACTTACATGTGTTATATGACAGTAATTTTTTATCTTATATCATAATAACTACATGAAATATGAATACATCAATTGATAAATAATTTTATTTTTCTAATTAATATTAAAAACAATTTTATTATTGTCATAAAGATAAATATAATTTATTTATTTTTTATACATATGATATGGATGTTAAATCGAAACTCATCAAGAGATGATTAATTTGATATTATATATGTAAAACTGGTAAAAAAATACAAATATTATTAATTCTTAAAATACATTTACAATTCTATGATTATAATAAGAAATGATATTAAAATGTAATTAATACATGTAACATGATCATAAATAATTAACATATTTATGGATAATTCGGACATAAATAATTAATATATTGTTATTTCTTATGCAATTACTATTCAATTGTAAATAATTTTTATTATTGTTGTGTTGTATCTTTTAATTTTAATAATACTTGTATTTTTTTAATTTGAAACTGATTATAATAATTAACTATAATTTCAACAGCGCAAAATTTAATTAAAAAAAAATTAATGAATTCAATTAATTTATTTAATCATATAAATAATTAAACACATTTCATTAAGGTATTAAAGAAAAATTGTAAAGTAATGTGAATAGTGTCTCGCTAAATGTAGCGCGACATTGTAGATATCTTCATTTTAGATAGAGCTGTAAATGAACCGAACGTTCGTGAATAAAAACTCGTTTGTTTATTTATCGAGCCGAGTTCGAACAGAAAATTAGGCTCGTTTAATAATCGAACGAACACGATCTCGTTCGTGAATTTTCGATTAATTCAATATAATTTTATTTTTTTTATATATTTATTTAATATTTTTAATAAAATCTAAAATATAAAATATTATTAATTTATTCTTTTATTTTTTGAGTTCGAACGAACAAATTTCGAGTTAATCAAATATACTTAAAAAGTTTATGTATTAAATTATTCGAACACGAACTTTGACGAATTTCGAATTTTCCCGCCCCACAAAACATTACTGTAACTTCTGTTCAACTTCTACATTTCATTCGCTCTTCGTCGCTTACCGCACCACCAAAAATCCACCACCGCAGAGCCTCCTTCTCCTCTCCCTCTCTCTGTTGTATTTGGTCTCTATCTTGGTTGAGTTTCGCGCGACACTTGATCGCTACTGCATCCGATTTGCTACTGCCATGCCAATACAATGTCCTGGATCTACACTTTTACTATTCAGGTTTTGTTATTCGACTTATTTCTTTGTTGTTGTTTTATTCTTAAATTTGGTTGTGTTCCCAACAATTACTTGATAGAAGAAATTGACTTGGTTATTTGAGTGCATTGTTATGAGTTAGCAAATAATTCAAAATAGCTATATGATTTTTTTTTTTTATTTTTTTTTTTGATGCACAAAAGAAGAATCCAAACTTTTTGAAGTGTATTGATTTTGAATTCACTTGAGAAAGAGCAATGAAATAACGAACTTCGACGAGTTATGAGTGGATTTAATAAATAACACAATTTCTTTGTAATTAGACTTTGCCCAAGGGGGCTATGTTGTTCTATTTATTTATTTCTTTTGGAATTCCAATGCAGTCAATTATTTATCCGTTGACTTGTTCAGTCCCTATCCTAGGCGACCCCCTATCCGAAATCCTGCAAAAAACACTCCACAAGTGCAAAATTTCAAAAATGGTCCATTATGTTGGCCATTTTCCGAAAAAAGTCCCATATAAGGTGTTATCAATAATTGTCCACTAAATTGTCACTTTTAATCAAAACTCGTACAAATGTCAACATAGTGGACTAAATGTGATTATCACTTTTAGTCCACTATGTTGGCATTTGTACGAGTTTTGATTAAAAGTGACACTTTAGTGGACCATTATTGATGACACCCTATATGATGGACCTTTTTCGGAAAATAGCCAACATAGTGGACTAAAAATGAAATTTAGCCAGCAAACGAGTGTCAGTTTAACTTTATTTGGCGAAAAACGCTCCACGAGCAAACGATTGCCAATTTAGCCAGACGCTGAATCGGTTTGAGGATCTGATGAGCAATAAGAATAGTCGATGTTTGTGGGTGGGAGAATGACATAAACATAGAAGGATGAGGTAGTGCAGCATGTTCCTGTGTATATAACATTTTCTTACTATTTATTACTTTTATAGTTGAAGTATTTGAGAGATGAAAGGAAACGAAGGAACACGCTTTTGAAATATATCATCTCTCTTATATATAACAACTTAACAAGTGATAGACCTTTAGAGGCCTACACGTGACATGGTGTTAAGTGACCTAAGGATCTGTAATTTTGTGTTCTTTTCTTCTGCACATACAAAACGACGCCGTTTATTTTGGTGTATCTTAATGGCTAAGCTATACCTACACAAAACTTCCTTATGCTGGAAAAATGTTTCTGGAGACCATCAAATTGACTTTCGATCTCCTGTTTTTTAGCATTATCACCTGCCGCACTTTCTAAAGTCAATGGTTTACGCGTCAAATAGGTCACGACGGCGTCGTACATTCAGCAGTCGTGGAAAGCCTTGAGGCTGCTAAAATCCAGTCTCATCAACTATGTGATACGTTTAGCTTATTTGCATTTAGCTTTTATTTTTTTATTTCTAATGATATCATGGTTTTCTCTTCCTTATTTTTTTCTTGGAGATTTCATGATATACATATTTTGTTCTAATGGATTAGAGAGGTTGTTGTTGATTTTTGTTCTAACGCATTTTCCTGAATCAATAATCAATTTGCATTCACCGCACTGGGATTTAAATACGAGCAAGAGCTGAGCCAAAGAAACAAAGGTACTATTTATACCTTGAGAATTCAAGGACAAGACATATGTATCATTTTATCCCACCATTAGAGTTATCATTAATCTTGCAGTTGTATTTTCACGACACAGACCATGAGTTAGCAAATAGATTGCATGCCTGTCCAAGGCTAACTAAGTCAATAACTATAAAGATAATGCAGGTCCTTGACAATAATCCATACGCTAAGTTTTTTAGAAATCTTAAATGTTTGGATAATCTGGAAAAATTGTAGGATAATTTGAAAAACCGTTTCTCGTTTGGACTAACGTGTTTATAATTTGCCAAGTGATTCAGAATTAGCTGCACTTTTGGTTGAAGGCCAGGGAGATGAAGAGCTATATAAGCGTGATGTTCAGGTTTTTGGTTCTGGAGGAGTTTCGCATTGAATCCAATATTATTATCGATGTTATAATCCCCTTCAATATCCTTTAATATTCCCTCCATGTTATGAACCTTTAATTGGAGAATGATCTAAAAAGTGCAATTGCTTCTGTTTTCTTGTGTGTGATTTTTTGTGGGTAAGAGATCATCAATTGTATATTTCTTTCAGATAACTTTTTGGAAGAACTTAAATGAATGTTGATGAAGACTTTATTGTTGTTGTTGTTGTTGTACTTTACTTTTTTTTTTTAGTGCAAATGGCAATTGTATGAAATATACAATAAATTGTTAAACAGCTTTTATGATTATGTTATATGGACATTTCTTAATTAAAATAAAGACACTAAAATCAAGAACTAAAAAAAAATCTTTTCTATTTTAATGAGATTCTCTTTTTCAGTTTTTGTGAAATTGTTGGACTTAGATGATTGGCAAAATTATTAGTTTTTGGTTTTACGAAATCATTTTTTGCGTTTGTGATCACTTGATTGAATTTTAACGTGTACATACAGTGCAATATATTCTCATGTGTTCTCATGTTCTTTTTTTTTTTTTCCTTAAACTATTTTATTGATCTCGCCATTTTTAAAAAATCAGATAACTTTTGCTTATTACAAAGACTATAATAGCTCAATGAAGTTGAATTTAGGAGTGGGTGCATAACATATTAAGTTGTTGTAGCTCACCTATTTGGCACCAATCGTAATGTGCCACATCATGTTGTGGCACCATAATATGGTGCCATAAAATTTCTGTATTTACCCCCATGTAGGAGTGGCAGAGTGGGTGCATACAAAAATTTCCTTTTCATAATATACTTAAGTTGTATTATGAGGTTTTATTTTCTTGTTTGTAGGCAAAGCTTATTCGATTGATTTGACCTTCTAAAATTTGAATTATTTTTTCAGAGCAAAAATAAATTTTTAGTACAAAGTAGAAGAATTACTTCGAACATCTCAATATTAAGCAACCGATAAAAGTATAAACACGAGGAGAAACCATCCAACAATCGAATAAATACATTTGTCGCTAAGTTCTGTTACAAAAATAAAATATGGAGCGTGGATGGCATACAATGACACTGGCACCATAACTGTCACCACCAGCCATGACAGAAGACAAAGATGGAACAAATCTTATGATTGTAGTTGTTCCAACGCATAAATTATACAGTACATAAAAAGTTCTTAATTAAAAACAAAATTTACCTCAAATTGGGCCCGGCTGTGCGGTGCACAGCCGGGAACAAACTAGTAAGACTAACAAAAAAATCCCCTTGGTATGATAACTGATAACAAATCAAGTGTATAGTTGGTGTATACTACTATGTTCTGCAGCAATATTCTTCACCTACTTATAAGTGCATATATAATACAACTAATTCAACTCTGTGGAGCTTTTCCCGGA